CCAGCGGAGGGTGGTGGGGAGACCAGCATTCCCTTCGGATCTGACTCTCAAAGGCTGGGCAAGGTGGTACCCTCAGCAGACGAAGGCAAGGGGCCTTGTCCACCCCCTTGGGTGGCCACGGGCGGGGGCTGCCCCCTGAGTGTCCCAACACCCCTGGCCTACTGCTGTCCCCAAAGGGATCATGTCACCATGTGTTTGGGCATTTAAGGATTCTGAAACTCCTTAAGAAGAAACCACAAATTGTATATATTTATGGTTCCAGATACAGCCCTCTCAAAAGGCCCATGAGCAGCAAGCAAGCTCAGCGACTGTGCTCTCATTTGGCAGGTGTGTCCACGGCCAGCGTCCCAACTTTTCTCCATGGACATATATATATAATTTTCTAACCTTCTGTTTTCACAATATAGGGTTAATCTCCTTCTAAGTTAATGTTGAGGCAGCTAGAAAATAGCTTTTTTTTTACTTTAGCATCACTTTGAATGTCCACATCTTTATACAGGGCTTGATTCCTTATCTGCAGTTTCAAAATCATAAAAGCTCCCCAAAATCAAGTTTATGTGTAATTCACTTGGCCACAGAAATCTACCCTGAACTGACATGAGGCTCCTGAGAGCTTCTACTTTGCCCCGTCAGCATGAAGAGTCCTGTATTTTGCTACAGAAATATCAATGAGTCCGGCTCAGGGTGCTGTCCCGGGCTCACTGAGGGCAGAGGTAGCATTTTATAGTTCTAGAACCCAGAGAATTCTGAATTCTAGAAGTCCCCCGGTGCCATGGAGATGGATGAGATTTGAGCTGAGTGGAGGGGTTCGGAGCTCACATCTGCTGGATGCAACACTGTGCTGTTTGTATTTAGCGGTCATGTCGACATCAAAAGAGGGTGCGGTGTCAGGTTCACAGATGGGGACATGGAGGCTTAGGGGCTCCCCTGTGACAGGTCAGAGTTGAACCCAGATCCTTAGCTGCCCAGGACAAGCACACACTGTCTCCTGCCTCCCTCTAGTGCTTTCCTGATAGGGGACGTCGAATTTGAGACCGCCTGCCCCGGGCTGTGGGGACTGTGGTGAAGGGAAATGCTGTCCAGCTCCTACCGGCCATGAGCCTGGGGGCCTTAGTTTTTGCTTTTGCCCCTGCCACCAGGGCATGTCCGCCCTACCTGCCACCTCAGGAGTCCTGTGTCTCTGGGGCTAGCCCTGCTGGCCTCAAGGTCATGGCTGAGAATGGTCTCTCCACACCAAAATCACTCATCTTAGTTAGCACGGGGAACTGCCACTCAGTTCAGAAACCACCTTCTCCGCCTGCCCCTTCTCAGAGCCTGCCTTCCTGTGTATTTCAGGGACACAGAGCTAAGTTCCCATGTGTGTCTGAGGCTGCCATTCCTGTCCTCTGCTTCTCCTCAAAAGAATAGCTGTATCTTAATTCGGGTGTCTCCTTCCCTTCCTGCCTTCCTTTTTTCCAGGAATAAATCCTTCCTTCCTTCCTTCCTTCCTTCCATCCATCTATCTATCCATCCATCCATCCATCCATCCATCCATCCATCCATCCATCCATCCATCCATCCATCCACCCATCTATCCATCCACCCACCCATCCATCCACCCATCCATCCACCCATCTATCCATCCACCCATCCATCATCCCTCCTCTTTCCCACCTTCCATCTTTCCATCTATCCAGACACTCACCCATCCATGCATTCTGGTACCCAGGAGCTGCTAATAGGTCATAATTGAATGAATGAACGAATGAATGATGACTTTCTCCAAGCAATCTATGTACGGACCTTATGAAAAAGGAAAGAAAAGATTCACCCAGAGTAAGTGACTCTGCTGAGTTTCTCACAGTTGTCACTCATTTGTTCATTATTCAGCAAATGTTTACTGAGTGCCCCTAAGTGCCAGGCATTGTGCTGGGTTCTGGTGCCGGAGATACAGTGTTGAACAAAAACAGATGTCTGGCCCTTACCCTCGTGGAACTTGCACATTTGAGGGGAGACAGATGTTAATTGAATAACCACACTCATGAATTCATAATTGCAAACAGCAATAAGTGCCCAGGAGGAAAGGAAGTCACCCAGCACACCCCAGAGGCTCTTGAGCCAGGCCCGGGGGCCAGGGAGGGCTCCCTCACCCAGGCATCAGAGGATGCGCCAAGGGCTGCTGGGAAAAGGACACCTGTGTCAGGGACTTAAATAAAGGGACCTGGTTACAGAAGTGATCATGTAGTTGCAAGAGCAAACAGGGGAGATGAGGAACTGCCACTGTTACCCCCAGGCTGGACGGACAAAGACAGTAACTGAAGCTGCTGCTGGAGCCACATTGGAAATATGACCATTTCTAAAGACACTGCCTGCAGCAGAGAGGGCAAGAGAGGAAGAAATACCCTGGCTTCTTCTCTGCCCACCCTTTGCTCTCCCTCCAGCGCCTGCGTTGGCTGAACCCAGTGGGAAGCGGCATTTGCAGGGTCCGCCTGCGGAGCAGGGAAGGGGTGAGGAATGGCGGCTGCCTGCCACAGGCAGGAATTCAATTCCATAAGGTGGGAGGCAACCGAAGGGGCATGTGCAAAGGCCCTGTGATGCAAAGTGCACAGTGCCTCTTTGGAAGACTGGGGCACCGGCAGGGTGCAGGAGGCCATGTAAGGTCCTGGGGTCTCCTGGAGGCATGGGCAAGGGCCAGTAAACAGGGAGTCTGATGTTCAACCTGAGAGCTATGAAATGTGGGAAGGATTTTGAGCTGGAAGGAGGCCACGGCCAGATCTGCAATTTTGCAAAGACCACACTGGCTCCTGGGTGGAGAGCAGATGTGAGGCACCCCCGAGGGAAAGCAAGCAGGTAGCCATTGCCGCCCTGCTAAACCTGTCCCCCAGTGCCCAGCTCTCACCCCAGGCCAGGGCTCTCCAGAAGCTTCCCCACACTCTGGCCTCACACACCCACAGCAGGAGGAAAGCTCAGCTTCCTTGATCACCTGCTGCCCTCCTTCTAGGCCTGTGTGCCCCACAGGAGACCTCTTGCTTGGCCTGCCTTCCCCACCCCCTCTCCTGCCATTCAGCCCCCCAGTGCCCACAGCCTGGGCCGGGGTGCAGGCACCATGGCACCTGTTTGTGGCTGTTTTTCTCTACTCCAGTGGCTCGGTTTTCAGATCTGATGAGTATTAATGACTGTGCAGGGTTGAGGGTGGGTCCCCTGGGAGACAGTCTTTCTGGAAGGCATGTCAGGGTGCCCAGTGTGGTTGAAATGGGACACCGCAGCCTGACGCCAGGCCTCCTGCCTGGCCCTGCCCACCCACTCAGGTAGAGCCCGAGCCCCTGGAGACCACCCAGAGCATCGGACCTGCCCTGCTCCTCCCTTAAGGCCAGAGCCAGGCACCCCATGAGCTAAGGGTGGGGGTCCCGAGGAAGAGCAAGGAAGTTCTCGAGCAACTGGACAAGGGCACCTTGGCCTCAGAACGCAAGCCTGCACTTTCCAAGGAGGTGAAAGGGCTTTTGGCCGAGAGTCTTTGCGATCCTGCGTGGACCCTTGGGCGTCAGGGCTCCCCTGGGCCTGGGACCCTCCACCTGGAGTAGGTCTGACCCCTCAGCGCTCAGAAAACATACACTGCAGAAGGCACACCCTTCCTCTTCATCTCAGGGCATGGTGGGGGGCCAGGGGACCCTTGGGCAGCACCTGTGTGTTGGTGGCATCTGTGAATTCGGGGGTGTTTTGACCTCCCCACGGCAGAGGCAGGCGGCAGGCATGGTCCTTCTCCACCCTCATATGCAGGGCAGAAATGCAGCTCCCAAGTTCAGCCGGAGGTAATGAGGTACTTAGGAGAGTGGGCTCAGGAGCAAGCCAGCCTGGGTTCAAATTTCATTTTGTCATGTGGAAACTGTGTGATCTCGGGCAAATAGCTTAGGATCTCTGCTTCAGTCTCTTCATCTATAAAGTGCAAATAATAGTTGTGCCCCTACCTCACCAGGTTACTGAAAGGATTAAGAGGGACAATGTACACAGACTTAGAACAGAGCTAAGGGTCTGGGACCTCCTTCCTACTGTGCTACCCCACTGCCCATTTGCTTGGACCCTGGGCAGCATCTGACCCAGACCCCCAGATGGGCAGGTGCTCCAGAAATGTGCTTTGAACCCAGGAGGGAATGGAGTCAAGACCCCAAGTGAGAATGGGGGACTGTAAGTCACTGTTCCTGGTGAGCGCTGTCATCTTGACAGCTGGAATGTTCTAAATCATTCTAAGACCTGGGCACATTGGAATTTTTAAATGTGTTTCCCCTTTTAGAGCAAGCCATGCCTCAGTATTTCTGGCCTGTGAAAGGAACACAGTTTCAGAGCCAGGGCAGAGAAACCACACGTGCTCAAGCAGCCCAATGAAAATACCGGCCACCAAGCCCTTTTCCTTTGCGGCCCATGTGGGCTTCATCAGGGCTGCTCGGGCAGGCAAGGGTGGGTGCCCTGCAGGGAGATGGCCCATGGGGTCAGGCGGGTGGGTGGGCAGCTGAGAGGAGGGGTGGGGAACCCTGGGTATTCCACCAGCCACCACGGGCATGGTTTCAAACATCTTGGCATACACTGTAGCTGAACACACACCTACCCGGTGCCCAGGAATTCCTCTCCTGGGTATCTCCCCGGCAGAAATGCTCCAAGAGTGTTCAACAAAAGACGTGGACTAAACATGTTGGCAGAAACACTCTTCACGGTGGCCTAAAATGGGAACGACTCAAAAGCCCATTGACAGTGGAACAGGTGAATAAATTCTGGCATATTCATCCATGGAATACTATACAGCAAAAAATAAAAAGAATCAAGTGCTCCTCCAGCAAACAGGGAAGAACTTCACAGATGTAATATGGAGCCAAAAGCCAGACTCTAAGAGTACATGTGACATTTCTATTTATATAAAGTACAGACAATCTGTACCGCCACACGCTACAACATGGATGAGCCTTGAAAACCTTATGCCGAGTGAAAGAAGCCAGGCACAGAAGACCACGCCATGTAGGAGTCCATTTATATGAAGCGCCCAGAACGGGCAGATCCACAGACACAGAAAGCTGCTTAAGAGCGGCCAGGGCTGGGAGGGGCCGGGACGTGACAGCTCAGGGGTACTGAGTTTCTTTTGGGGGCGATGGAAATGTTCTGAAATTGTGGTGACAGCTGAACAATACACTGCAAGCCACAGAAGTGCGGATCACTGAGTTGGTAGGTTGCATGGTATACGAATTACATCTCAATAAAGTTGCTAAGAAGTTGGTTTGATGTTAGAAGGCAGGACACCTGGAGCTCTGGCTGTATGTTGTTACCCTTGCTGGGCAGTAGTGTCTCGAAGGGGCACAAGGGGGCTTCTGGGAGGCTGGACATACCTGCCTTCTGGGTACTAGTTACACAGATGTGCTCAATCGGTGAACATTCCATAAGCTGTGCCCACACGGTGATGCACACTTTTCCGTAGAGAGGCTACACTTCAATTAAAGGTTTTAAAATGCAACCCCTCAGTTTAGTGTCAGATGCACGTTTTGGTCCCCCTTTATGACCCCTTCCTGAGTCCAGCACCAACTGACCACAGAAATAAGACTAGGGCAGGCGAGCAGGTGGGCTGGCGGTCGGGCTTGGAAAATCCTCCAGTGACTCAGAGGAACAGCTGGAAAGAATCTGTTGCTACTGCCTAACTAGTCCCTGCCCCCATTAGCCGGCACTGAGGACCTGCCACCATCCACCCCCGCCCAGTGTTCCAGGGCCTGTGAGCCGGGGTCGCTGAGGGTGAGGGGACATGGGCTGGGTAGGCTGCCCATGGAGCCATAGGCAGGCCCTAAAGGCGTCCAGCAAGCCCTGGCCATTGGCCTCCCTGGCAGTATCCAGCCAGGGACAAGGATGCCTTTATTTCAGAGGATCGGGAGGCTGGCTGGCAGGCCAGGAGCTGGGCACACAGCAGGGTGGAGCAGAGCAGGGACCTCAGCCAGGTCGCCTGGGTTTGAATCCAGCCCTGCCACTTCCCAGCTCTGTGATGTTGGGGATGTGCATTCGCTGTTCTGAGCCTCATTGTCCCCACTCTTAAAATCAGGGAACAATAGTGCCTATTTTCCAGGCTGTCAAGAAACCTGAACTAGATAATGATATAAGTTCAGGACGTAGCACCTGGCATATATACTCAGCACCCAGGAAACCTTAGGTGCTATCACTACATGCTGCGTCAGTACCAACTGCATGCTCGGCCCCCTGAAGGGGGTTTGTAGTCACTACCGGCTACTTTTCTTTCCACACCATCCCCCACCCCCCACCTATGCCCAACCTTCACAGAAACCTCCAGGGTTTGGAAGCCTGGGAACTGACCACATAAATGATTGCTGTGGGTTTTGTGCTGCAAATCAGGGGTCTGTTGAGGAGTCAGCAGCAGCAAGGGAGTTTTTACTTACACTCCAGATTTATGTGGAGTGCTTGTCCCCAAAGCCCCCGGCGCAGGTCCATCCTGGAGATAGTTCATCACAGGAGGAGATTTTACGAGGCCCTGAAGTTCACGGCAATAGCCTCCAGTTTCCAGATGGACGAGGCAGGTGGGAATGGTGTTGCCCAGAGTGGAGCGGGGAGAGTGGGCTTCTGAATGCTTTCTCCAGGCTAACGCGAGTGAGCCAGGCAAGGTTTTGGGGACACCTGGTTCTGTGCTTTGAATCTGTATCTTGTGCTCTGATCCTTAATTGTGTAATGCAAGCAGTGATTTTTTTTTAAACAAAGCCCTTTGCAGCTTACAAGATGCTTCTGCATAGGTTGGCTCAGGCCCCACACATGGAAAGTGGCTCTCCCACCCCCACTCTCTGAAGCCTTCTATATTTGACAAAGAATGGACCTATGACACGGTCACCAAATATGCCATGTATCTTTACAGATTTTACAAATTGGAACAAGTTCACCCAGTTTACACACGTAAAAAGCAAGGAAATTTTGCCAACCCCAGCAGCTGGGAGCTCATCCCGGTCCCAGGAACTGTGCCTTTGGGCCTCAGTTTCCCCATTTCTCAAACAGGGATGATGATTTCTGCTCACCTCCTGGATTGCTCTGTCACCCAAGCAAATGGCTGTGAAACGGCTCACAGGCCCAAGGCCTCCATAAATCCCAGGGATGTTTTTATTGTTAACGGTTGCATTCCGTCCCTCTGAGAAGGACGGTATACTTTTGTCGGTGGCCTGCCGTGTTTGAAGCTCTTTCTGAGGATGGCAGAGAAGTGCTTGCTTCATTCTTAGGCCAAAAAGAAAAAAGAAAAAAAAAAAGGGATAGAAAAAAAATAGGGCAGTCAGAAGATAAATTTTGTTTTTCTGGTCCCCAGCGAGCCAGAGGCCAAACACACAGCACACGTAGCCTCTAAAAGAGGAAGGATGGCAGCCTGAGAAGGTAAATGGTCCTGGGAGGGCCGCCAGGGGCACACGCGCAGTTCAGAGGGAGAAGGGCAAAGGCCTCAGGGGGAAGGGAAGTCGGTTCCGGGGGCGGGAGAGGCCGGGGCACGTGGAAGAGGCTGATCCTGGATGTCAGCACAGCTGAGCAGTGGAAGCCGGTGGGAGCAGCCGGCAAGCCTGGAACTTGGAAGACACAGTGTGATTTCTGGATAGTCTGGCTCCCAGGTTCAAGCACAGATTGGGCCCCAACTACGTCCCTGGCCTTGTGACACCGTGGAAAGCCACCCGGGGAAGCCACCCCAGGTTCTGCTCCGATGGAGAGGCAGGCCCAGAGACAGATACACAAAGTAAGTGTGCCGAGTGCTCAGAGCCTGGAAACTAGCTCTCCCTGCAGGCTGAGGGCAGATTCCTGTGGTTTCTGGGCCAAGACAACCCTACAGGAAGCCGCAAATCTGAGATGTGCCCAGATGTTCCATGCTGATGGCCTTCTGGTCTACTGTGGCACCGGCCGTCGGGGGCGCATTTTCTCGCTGTTCCCTCTGCTGGGCCTGCCTGTGAGCATGTGTGGTTGCTTTACGAGGCCACCACACTGGAGTCCGCGGGATGAAGATGCCGAGCTGAGTGGCGATTCATGTGGTCTGGGGAAGCCTGGCACCCTCTCTCCAGCTGCAGGGAGGGCCACGGGGCTCAGAGGCAAGTGAGGAGATGGTTCTGCCGCGGCCGGGGACTGTGGTTCCCACATGAAGCCAACACAAATGAGCCCTGACATCTCTCCCTGTCTTCCAGCACATACTCAGCCTGTTTTGTGTCCAGACATGAACCTGGCAGGTCCTCAGTTTCCTGAGGTGTAAAACTGGGGACACCCAGGACGATGGACTCTGCTGGCCATTCCTGCCTTAACAAGCTGGCATCTTAGGGTAATGCTAATCTTGGTGGCTAACGAAGCCAGGGGGTGAGACACACTGCCTGGGTTCCAGTCCCAGCTCCACCAAGCTGCATGACCTTGAGCCTTGACCTCCCTGCTCTGGGCCTCAGTCTCCTCACCTGGTAACTGGGGATACAACAGAGCCTCCCACACAGGCTTGTTGCAAAGATTTGGTGAGTTGCATCTGTAAAAGCCAGGTCCCTGTGTATGACTGACATTCAACCGACCTGCAAACACAGCTGTCAATTTCAGGTCCAGGGTGTGTTTTACCTGGACTGTCTTAAGTCACGCTCCTCCCAGGCCTATGGGTGCATCATTTGTCATCTCTGTTTTATAGATGGGGAAACCGAGGCTCAGAGAGGTTAAGTAGCAGGCCAAGGCCACACAGCTAGTAAATGGTGGAGCTGCAATATCAGTATGGTGTGTTGAGCTGTGCCAGCAGCTCCACCCCTCTGTCATCTACCCACAGACGACCAGCCACCATTACCTACCTACCTTCCTCCTCCTCTGATCTAGGCTCACCTGCTTCTTGGATCCCAAGATGTGTGCCAGGGGACTTTCCTGAGTCACTGGGCCAGTGAGGGAAACAAAAACATCCAGCCAAATACCTTTCTTCCCATTCCCAGCCCACTTTATACACACACAGGCACATGCGTGAACACGTGCAGACATAGGCACGAGAATGTACACACATACACAGATGCATGCACACACATGCACACTTTCACACATGTGGCACACACTCAGGAGGTTCTCCTGGATGATTCCAGTTTAGCCAAGAAAACTCCACCTCCCTCTTTTAGGCCTGTTGAGCCCTGTGGCCCTCCTTCCTCAGGCTCTGTGTGTGATCTCAGCGTGGCAGCCCCCTCACCTCAGAGTGCAGACAGGCAGTAGCAGAACCTTCTCAACCACAGACAGAGCCAGGAAGGGTCCACACACACATACTGTCACTTACCCCTTGCATGGAGCAGGAAATGGAGGCTTAGGGAGGTCAGAGGTTTGCCCAAGGCTCTCCTGGCGAGAGAGGGCTGGGCCAGGATCGGGATCCCGGTTTGTGGGACCTAGACACCGATCTGGGACACACACAGAGATGAAGACAGACCTGGTCCCTCCTGAGGGGCAGGGGAGTCAGACAGGGCACAGTCAACAGGAAAATAAATAAAATCAAAGATGAATTGCTTTGCCAGTGAGCAGAGACAGAGACTAACAGGGGTACCTACCTGAGATGGAGAGCACAGGGAAGCTTCTTGGGGAAGACACTGCAGCCAAGGGCATAAACCTGGAAAGGCATCTGAAGTGGAAACCCCACATGCCCAGCTTTAAGGGACCCACAGAACCCACAGCGGGCCTGCATTTCCTAAGCTGGCATTGTTTAACCAGCAACCTTTTGGCCTGTATGGGGTTTATTAGTGGTGCTAGGACGCAATTAAGCAGACCTTACCCTTTAAAGTTTTCCCAATCAGTCCCCCTCCTGTCACCAGATATTAAAAATGCCAGAAGCAGGGAAACCCCCTTGCCCTGCCCCCAACATTCCTCTGGGACAGTTTTGCTGACGCAGCTCTTTTCGGGGCCGGGTGAGAGCCTGCAGTCCCGCATTTCTGGCAAAGATGACAATGTTCTTGTTAACCCCTGGACCATGACCCTTGGAATATCCGCCAGGGATTCCAAAGAGATGGCTCTTTTCTCTTATTCCATTTATCTATAATGCATGGTCCTCCTCCCTGCCAAGAGGAAGCCTAGTTTTATTTACACATCAATGTCCCAGAGGGCAGAAGGGCCCACCTGGTACCTTTGTCCCCAGGCTCACTCTGAGCTCCAGCTGGCAGGTTCGGACAGCTAGCTGTCAACTACTAGAAAATCAGTCTCCTGGGCTTTTGAAGTTGGAAGGGGTGTCATTTCACAGATTGGAAATGTGAGGCCCAGGGAGGCCTAGATTTGCACAAGACCTCCCACCAGAGCCAGAGCAGTCTGTCTCCCTCATTGGATGGGTGCCAAGGCCCACACTGCCTAGCAAGGCTGCACAGCCAGGTCTTTGACAGCAGGGGACAGAGTTGACCGCCCGGGACTGAATCCCAGCCCCAGTAACTTACACTCCTGAAAAGTAACTTAACCCCAGTGCCACCTCTTTCTCTTCTATAAAATGGGCTAGTCATGCACTTGAACCAGGGCTATTGGGAGGAATAACTGAGCTGATGTATATAAAGTGCTTAGAATAATACCTGGCATGTGCTAAGGTCTATGTGTTTGTTAAATAAACTCAGGGTATCTACGCACATATAAATTAAATACATGGGAACAGCTCATCCCCTGCTAGAGCTCCCTTAGTAAGAGCCAGAAGAGGCTCAGAGTTGTTGAGCCACTTGCCCTGGAACACACAGGGCCCCTTCTGCCCTGCTGGTGAAGACGTGGTGGCCCCTGGCCAGCCGTGGGGAGGGGTGCGGTCGGCTGAGGACTCCGTTCCCCCGACGGAGCATCCATTAAGGTGTTCCAGGGGACAGGGGACAGCTCCTCTTTGCCAGTCTCCGAAATGAGAACACTGGACTCTGAGCGGTGCCACCAACTCAGGGTTGCTGGGGCTGTAAATGGCCCTTATTTGGTTCCCCCTTGAAAACGAGGAGGGGACTGAAGCACCCTGAGCTAAATCGGCAGGACGCCCATTCCTGGGCCGAGGCTGCCCTTCCCGAGAGCTCTTTGGGGGACTCTCCGGTCTCCGGGGGCGCCTGCCACGTTCTTACCTGGCTCCTCCCGCGTCCTGCTTGACCTTTACTTAAAGAGCAGCTGTGGCCGCTGATGGGCCTCCGCGGGTCCCCGAGGAGAACCTTCAGACGGCTCGAGCCGGGCGCGCTGGAGAGAGCCCCTAATTGGGGCCATGAATCATGGTGCGCGGCTCCCGGCTGGACACAAAATAGATAGAGGAGCCGGCGCGCTATTGTGCGCAGTTTGGGC